ATTATATATAGTTAAGGTGTACAATGTGATGATTTGATATACATATACAATGTATATTATACATTGTGAAATGATTACCACACACCAAGTTAATTAACACATACATCACCTCACATAATTCCTTTTTTTGAACACTTAAGATCTACTCTCTTAGCCCTGGCCAGTATGGCTCAGCAGTTATAGTGTCGGCCTGTACACCAAAGGGTTGCAGGTTCGACTCTCAGTTAAGGGTGTGTACCTGGGTTGCAGGTTTGATCCCCAGCCCTGGTTGTAGTGCATGTGGGAGGCAACCAATTGATGTGTCTCTCACAAGGATGTTTCTCTCTCTCTCTCTCCCTCCCTCCATTCCATCCCACTCTCTCTAAAAATCAATGAAAAAAATATACTCGGTTAAGGATTAACCAAAGGGGGGGAGGAATCTACTCTCTTAGCAAATTTTAAGTATACAATATGGTATGGTTAACTATAGCCACACAGCTGTACATTAGATCTCCAGAACTTATTCATCGTATAACTGAAAGTTTGTACTCTTAAAACTATTGTTCACAAAGTCCCTACATTTCTAGCTATACCACTGTATACCAATCTTTATTTTCTATTAATCCATTAAATTTGTAATATTCTCTTAATTGACATTCTTTTAAAAATCTATCTAAGAACTAACAGGAAGCATCAGTAGATTTGTATATCTCTTTTATATCTTCTTTTAATTTCCCCTTGACTTAGCCTAAATTCTTTTAGGACTAGGATATATGAAAACACTATAACTTGAAAAGCTGAAGTACTGCACTTATTTCCAGTGCATTCACGGAGTGCCTACTCTGTGCTGGGCTTGGCAAAGCCAAGCATGAGAATCCAGAGATGAGACTGACACAGGCTCTGCCTTCATGAAATTCACAATCAATAAGGGAAAACATTTAAACCAATAATTATAACCCCTGACTTAAAAAGAATTTCTCAAGTTAACATAGTCTGTGAATTCCAAAAGACAAGTCAAAGTGGAAAATAATGCAAACTTTTTCAATTTAATTACCAAGAGTATGAAACCAAGAAAGAAAAAAAAAACTAGGGTGGGACTTGTTAGGAATCTGGCTTCAGGCCCCTTGCCATTAGAGTTTCTTGGATATGAAAATGTCCTTATTATAACATTATTTTACAGTTAAGCAATAAATCTCCCTGAGGATGGGGTGCATACTCAAGCACTTTTACTGAATTTAGCTTTATAGTAGTAAGAAGATAGAAGATTTTTTTAAAAATTGAACATAGTAATAACATTACTATATCCAGGCTCTATTATTATCTTTCTCATTTTACATACAAAGAAAATGGGGTTCAGAGAGATTAGCTAACTTTCCCAAGGCTGCCCTGAGAGTCAGTGGCAGTTACCTGAGCATTCACTCACTAATGTACTGCTTCTCCATGACTTAGCATTGGCCTTCTTTCAAAACTCTTACCTATCTGCTAATGACATGTGTCATCATCTCTGATCTACCCTCCTTGCATCCTGCCCTCCATTCTCCATTTATGACCTTCTAGCCACCTAGGAATAAGTACAAACACGTCATGTTTCTCCCAATTCTGATTCTCCAGACCACTGACAAATTACTTTTGAAGTTCTGTAGCAATCACATTTATTTATTTATCTTTTTATCCTCCCCCAAGGACATTTTTTATTCATATAGAGTGGGAAGTAGAGAGAGGAAGAGAGAAAGAAACATTGATGTGAAAGAAACACATCGAGCGGCTGCCTCCCTCCAGGATCCAACCAGGGCCGGGGACAAACTGCAACCGAGGTACGTGCCCTTAGTGGGAACCGAACCCAGGTCTCTCTGGACTGCTGAGCCAAACCGGCCAGGGAAGCAATCACATTTATATCCAATAACCTTTCTGCAAGTGATCATGTCCTTTGAAACTCACCAAAAGTAACAAATATGCTGAAAAACTGTCTAAATACATCAGTGTCCTTCACTGAAAAACAGGGGAGTTTGGTTTTTATCCTTGTGAGACCCCAGTCCCTTGAGAGCTATTTGTGAGACACAAGATTTGAACACTTGAGAATCTCTGCTCTATAGCAAGGAGTGACAGTCCAGTATACTCCAAGACTCTAGACAGCATCAAGGCTGAAGTGCAGCAGCCCTCAAGCTTTGTAGATGGTAAGAATCTTGAGGTGCATTTCACAGACTCCTTCCCAACTCTCCTCTCTCCAGTGGTTGGAAATGATGGGTTCCAAGACCCTGCTACATCTCTCTCCCACCCAACAGCTCTCCCAGATCCTCTTGAGTGTTTATTACTATCATTATCCAGCGGACCATGGCATCAAATGAAGTCTAATACTCGAGACTCACTCAAGACCCAAGAACATACTGTTGAGAATACAGTCCCTGAAGTCTCCTAGAGTCATATATTTATTTACACAAAAAATTTTTGTCTATCCTTCACACATCATAATTCTGTCTTATCTATTTTAGCTACTCATTGATTCTGTGCAGAACTAACAGAGCTAGCTGTGCATTACCTCTTTTTCCAGGCTTAGTCAATAGATACTCTCCTCCTCTACCCTGCTCATTTCCTCTTCTTTCTTCATCATTTAGTCACCTGTTTGAATACTGATTCACCTCTAAAGAATCAACCCAAGCCCAGCCAGTGTAGCTCAGTGGTTGAGCATCGACCCATGCACCAAGAGGTTGCCGGTTCAATTCCTGGTCAGGACACATGCCCAGTTTGTGAGCCCAATACCCCCTGGGGGGCGTGCAGGAGGCAGCCAATCGATGTTCTCTCTCATCGATGGTTCTATCTCTCTCTCCCTCTCAATAAAGAAAAAAAAATTTTAAAGAATAACCTAAGAATTTACCAAAAATGAAGAACAAGAAATACAAAAGTATAATTGGTAAGTTCATCTGCATTTTTAAAAAAAGGAGTAACGGGAAGAACTGCACATGAGCATTCTGTGACAGTGGTGTATAAGGACATGCCAAGGCTATAGGCATGGACTTCTGGGGTACATCCCAGGCTTCCAGGATCTATCCTGCTCCTAAACTGAGTTGCTAATCAAGCAGTTCTTTCTTGCCTGCACACCTCCCCTGGACCTCCTATCCTCACTTTCACCCAAATGAGTGAATAAGGAAATAAACGAAGTAACTGTGCTTTAATATTGGTTAAAGCATTGGAATTTGCAAGCAATTATGTAAAATTGGAGTTGACTCAAGATTATCCCCATGTCACACTCATGTTCATTTCCCTAAAACATCCATGGCTTTTAAGCTTCCTACAGAGTTACTCCTTCGTTCCTTACAAAAGCTCAGTAATAACATCCTTGACTTAGATTCTACAGATCTACATAACACTAAAAAAAAAAAAAAAAAAACCGCCATTATTACTCATGTAAGGGTAAAACTTTATTGCACATTATATTATAATTTACAGAAACAAAAGATTATTATAGTCACTCACTCAATTAAAACATTTTACAAAGATGACCAAGATACACCACAATTAAGTAAGAGGTTTGTGTTAAACTTTCAAGTTTCTTATTTAGGAGTATTTTATTTTATTTATGTGATAAACACCTGGTATGAAATTGTCCACATTAGATTTACCTCAAATGCAATATAAAGAGATGCTGATATTTTAAAATTATGTATTAAATAAAATTCCAATTATATTCATTGGAAAGAAAACTCACTGAAACTTGATGCCAAGATTTCAAAAAAATTGCATAATAAGAAAATTACTTTTTAGTGTTTCTTTAAAAAAAACTAAAATCGTCAAACCATAGGCAAACTTATTTTTCTACAATGGAAAAAGACAGGTTCTCAGCAATATGGAAATGAATCTGGTCTGTGACCCAAATGGCTCAACAGATGATTCTTTGAAAAGAAAAAAAAAAAAAAATTATGTATTCTGAAACTCTTTTCCTTAACTCTTCTCTGAAACAACACACCTTTCCAGCTTCCTCGGAAGGAGAGGAATCTCTTTGTTTGTTTCAGGTGTGATGCTGGTCCCTGAATTTCCTCTCCAAGGACATAAACTCAGTTACCAAAGTCCATCCTCTCAAAGACATTCAGTGAACAGGAAGAAAGAAAAGATCTCTGGCAAATGTCATCCCCATGCAGTAGCATCTAAGAGCAGAGGGAACTGTGTCAACAAAGCTTATTGCCAGTTTAGGTGAATGGGGTTGTTTTCCACCTTCTCTGGAGCAGAAAAAGTACTACACATATAAGGCCAGTCTCTGAACCTACTGGAGACACCCCAGCAGTTTTTTCTACCATCAAACCTGCTGGAGCCTAAATCAATACAAATATTCATGGCCAGTTATACTAGGAAGCTTGAAGTTGCAAATAACTGCTGATATTCTTCTTGCTCATAAATGACTCATCAATCTTATTCCTGGGGAATTTGAGAATGCCTGGGCCAGATGCCATTGTTCCCTTATATGAAATGGCCTTAATACAAGTAACCCAGACTTTCTTAAAGGTCATTGCTCTCACAGAACACTAACACCAAAGGATGTTGATACGTATGACACAAAAATAAGAATGAAGCATTCCTTGGTTGGGTATATGTGGAAAATTCTGAGTTAAATACAGCGAAGCACATGTCTTGACTATGAGACATCTCAGGACTTCTCATATGTTTAGGAGCACTGGGAACCTCGAAGACACATTCAACGGGTCTTTGTTTTGCTTTACATCCCATCTTCAAGCACCTTCCATAGCAAGATGAATTTTAACTTACAAATGACAGAAAAGACATTTTGAAAACCTAACAATAAATACTTAGTTAGATCTGGGATAAAAATACCAGTCTGGGATACCCCCAAAGATTATGAAGGGCCCAAGGAAAGGTGAAGTTGGTAGCTGCAGAGGTCGTTTAATGTAGCTCACTGGTTTCAGTCCAAGGTGCTCCCAAGAAGGTCCTGAGCATAGCCTGCCCAAACACCAGGGACACAACTCTGAAGATAAAGAGTCTCACCTAACATTACTTTTAAAGAACAATTGCGAGTAGTTGAGCAGCACGTATACTAAAATTGGAACATTACAGAGAAGATTAGCATGGCCACTGTGAAAGGATGACACACAAATTTATGAAGCATTCCATAATTTTTAATATCAATTATACTTCAACAAAGCTTTAATTTCAAAACAGAAAATACTTTCAACATAAAAATGAATAACTGCAATGATGTGCATTACAAATGTGTCTCTCCGAATTATATATGTAAGATAATGTTCTCCTCCTTCATGCAAACAGTATGAACCATAAATTAATACACACTTATTCCCTAACATCTAAATAACGTTTAAAGCCAAGAACAAGGTAAAATTTGTTCACCAGGTGTACCACCACTGTGGAATTCCTATGCTAAAGAAATATTCCCAATATGGAATTTCAAAGTTGCACAAGGATTTTTGTGTGTGTGTTTCTATTGAGCTATTTTTATAAAATGAGCAACTTGGCAAGAGATACATGTGAGTTCCACTCAGTTTTTGAAAATACATTGTGAACTGGCAGTTACAAGAATAAACACGAGGATATAAAGTACAGCATAGGTAATACAGTCAATAATACTGTTTTAACTATGCATGGTGCCAGGTGGGTACTAGACTAAACAGGGGGATCACTTTGTAAGTTATATAAATGTCTAACCACTAAGTTGTAAACCTGAAACTAATATAATAAATGTCAAATGTAATTGAAAATTAAATAATTATATATATTTGTGGAGCTGACAAGCTGTATACGTAGGAAAATGCCCCCTTTAAAAAATATGTAAGAATGATTATAATTTTTACATCCGAAGCTTTATATACCTATTTTCCACATCTATTCAGTTTTTCACCACGGAAGTATCAAAGTTCTCAGAGAACCTAAATACCAAATAACATTTATTGCAATAAATATATGTTATGTTTGATTTCATACATCAGCATAAAGGAAATATGTTTATTTTTCATTTATTAGAATATGATCATATACATACTATATAAATATAAAATTATATGCAAAAAACTAACATTCAAGTTAAGTTTTACTTGCACTTGTTCTACATGCATACACACACACACCTCATTGACCCAAAATGTCCAATTTATCATAGCAAAACATCTTTTCGTTCCTACATTTGATTTTATAATTCTCTCAGGGAAATGGGTAGAATGCTACATTTAAAGTGATCAAATAGAATCTCTTAAGATAAAACATAATTTGTACTTCAAATCTGTAGCTGGTGAAATCAATGACACCTGTAATAAGATATTATTATTCATGCTACACAATTCCATATAGATTTAATTCACAAGTGTTAAGAGTAGACTGTGACTGCCTGCATGATGTTACATCTTGACCTGTGCTTTAAATCTGACTAAGCATGTCTTCATTGTATAAATGATTGACTAATTCAGTGTTGTTATTATTTTAAAGTGCAGCTCATTACTTAGATTTTCCCAAGTCACTTATAACTTGATCAATTTTAAAACACAGGGGACTCTTTCTTCCATTAAATTACAAGTGCATATTACAATATAAAAGGTAAGTATAAAATAAAAGTCTAAAATAAAAAGTGTTTTCTTACCCAAGAACGAGAGATGAAGAAATCGATGAGTATAGTCTGTAGACACTGGATAGTCTATCTAGATGACCTTTAAAGAAACAGATGTTTCCAAATCAAAAACAGTTCTTTTACAAAAAAAAGAGAAGTAAATAATCATATAAATTCACATTTAAAATCAAGATAAGAGAACCCTTTTCAACTATCAAGACTTTCCAGGTTAGAGAAACTGAGATTGCTCCTCACCCAAGCATATTCTTAAAGTGCTTCCAGCTTCTGCATGAAGTTGAATTTCCTTAGTCTCCTTCTAATTCTAGCCCCCTTCAATCACCATGGCAGCCCACTTGATCAAAGTGTCTAAGCTTTCCGATGTTATCTTGTCCAGTGGCCTTGATACAAGCCCTAGAAATAAGATTTGTTTGTGTACAAACTCTTCTTTTTGTTCAATTAAACAAAACAACTTTTACTCATAATCCTTAAATTGGTTTATAAATATAGAAGTGAATGTTGATGTTCATGAATTTCTTTTAACAGATGCTATGGAGTTGCTTTGTATTAAGCAGAAAGTAGCCATACCTACTCTGAGGGACACACAATCTTTGCACTATTTGGGCTGTACCAAGGCTGAAACAAAATATCATGGTCCCAAAATAGAAATCTGTTTCTGTTATTTGGCAAACATATCCCACAGCATCTATGAGGCTTAGAGGTATCTGGAGATCTGGATACATGGTTTTGGATCCAAAACGATATGATTTTTCCAAGTTTTTCCAGAATCACATAGAATGCTCTCTTGGGCATTCTCCTCAGATTTCTCTTCCCTGAACCCTCTAGAGCTCCTTGTCTACCACTATCCCAGGAGACATCACTTTCTAGGATGCATCATCACTATCCAAACCCATGTCAGTCTCTACCACTGGAGGATGAGCACAAGGCCAGAATCTGGTCTCATTATTCCCTGTATCCAGCACCTGACACAAAGTAGAAGCTCAAGAAGCATCCAGTGACCCAGCCAGGTCGCTCAGTTGGTTGAGCGTTGTCCCATGCACCAAAAAAAGTTGCATGTTTGATTCCCGGTCAGGGCACATATTGGAGGCGACTGATCAATGTTTCTCTCTCTTTCCCTTCTTCTCTGTCTAAAATCAGTGAAAATATCCTTGGATGAGGATTAAAAAAGAAGCATTCACTGAAGGGAATCATGGCTATTCCTCAACAGATGATCTTGGTTCACCATTAGCCCAAGAGCATCTGTAAGAACTTGGCTGGGTGCCATGGTGGCACTCATGCACACTGCTTACTCCACTGGTTACTGACATCTGGGACTACTTGTTTGGTACAGTTCTGACCTTGAGAAGGATTCTCTGACAAGATTTGTCACTTGAAACCATTATGAAGCAAGTAATGATGTGTACTTTGGAGCCCACCGAGTTAGATAGGTTTGGATTTGGTTTAGTTTACTAACCTGAATCTATTTTACCTCATTTCAGGTAAGATCATTTAGTAATAGGAGAGTATAAGAGGTTCAATTTGTGATCACTAAAAAATATTTATTAGATGTGTTCTCATATCATGGTCATATGTGTTCTCCTCTTCTTTGAACTTTTCAAGCAGCATTCATAGCAAACTTTTTTCGGTCATCCAAGGCCCTCTACAATATGACACAACTTACTGTTTCAGCTGCATCACTGCTTATATCCTCTGAATTCCAGAAAGTACTCACCATCAACCTAGACACATACTCTTCATTCCCCCATCCAGACTTTGCTCATGAGTCTTCCTGCCTATAATGTCCTTCCCCATATCTTTACTGATTGAAGCCATATCTATCCTTCAAGGCATATTCCTCAAAGCACCTTCTCCAAGAAGCCTTTTATGTACCCTTTATGGCACCTGCCCTACTTGGCAGTATAGGAAAGTCATGCATTGTCAGCCTCTCCCTTCAGTACAGGGAGCAGGATTAGTTCCTCTCTACAATGCATGGCTATATGAGCTTAGCCTGTAAAACTGTGAGGAATAAATCACATTTAGCTGATTGAGAATTGTGACAATAGTTTGCTCTTTTTCTGGAGACCCTAGGATTCAGGGGGGAAATGATGTAAGATATAGGAAAAAAATAAGAAAAAATGCAGGAGAGATGACTTAATATATAGATAGGCATTTTTCTTTACATAAAGGTATATAAGTGAGCAATAGAAAGAGATCTAGTGACTCATTTAATTAAGAATCTTATAGCCTGGCTGGTGTGGTTTAGTGGATTGAGCGTCATTCCATGGACTGAGAGGTCCCAGTTCAATCCCCATTCAGGTCACATGCTGGGATTGCAGGCTCAATCCACAGTAGGGGGTGTACAGGAGGCAGCTGATCAATGTTTCTCTCTTCCTTCCTCTCTCTCTAAAAAATAAAAATAAAAACATTTTAAAAAGAATCTTATAGATAAGTTTTCTCTGTCTTCAGTTCATTTTCAGTTTAAAATATTGAGAGCCAATCAATGAAACAAATCAAGGGAAATTATACTGAAAGATTCACATACATAAACTCACAGGGATACTAAATAAGAGTCAAGAACCTGAACATACTACAGACTATATTGAAGTATTTTAGACCACTCTTAGTCCATATTTATTAGGGATCACTCTACAGCAGGTCTTCGAAAACGTCTTTTTGTTCCACATCGTTTAATAGTAACTTAACTCTTGCCTTTTATCAATTATTCTTCAGTAAAATTGGTTTTCTTATACGTTGCTTTACTTCAAGTCACAGTACCTATTGATGATGTTAAGTGAGGACTCTGACAGTTATGCAACTCTTCTTTGCAATAATTATTATTTCTCTGTAGGTCTTTTAGCTTTCATGACCTAACAATGATGACAACAGTCATAAAAAAAAAAGCTGTCGCAGTGCTTTACTGTACTTGACTCCACTTCAAGTTACCAAGGAAACAAGAATTCTGTTTTCAAGACACTAGTCCTACACGTCTGGTTTCTGGGCAAATCAAGGTGTCTACAGTGATTTCAAGAGCTTTCATTTATTTATTCAGTTATTCATGTCCCAAATATTTATCTACTATAGATGGACAAGGAACTGTGACAGTTGTTTTTATTACTGGTGTTGATGTTGTCATCATTGTTAGGCCTAAAAGCTAAAAGACCTACAGAGAAATAATAATAATAATTTCAAAGAAGAGTCATATAACTGTCACAAAATTATTTAAAAATTTAGCAACTGGAATGCTGAGGAGCATAGGAATCTAATGGAAAAATCAATGTTGTTAGGCAGGCTGGGTTCTATTTAAATTGTAAGATAGCTGATCACTACCACAAATTCCTGAGATGTGACTAACAAAATCAGACCAATTTTGAGAGAAATGATGCAAGAAGCTCAAGCAGACAGGCTGAGGAAAGGCTCGAATTTAGAAAGTAGTTGTTGCAGAAAGAAGAAAAGAAAGTTGTAAGAGAAAAGTGATATCAGATGCTATGAAAGAGGTCACCTAATATGAGAAGGGACAATGAGTAAGTTAAGAAGTGGATGTGATAGCGTTATGGGCCTGGGGACAATAGGAGCTGAAGAGGCCAGAGATAGTCTTTTTTTTTTTTTTTTCATTTATCAGATAGAGTGGGAGGGGGAGAGGGAGGGAGAGAGAGAGAGAAACATCCACACAAGAGAGACACATGGAGTGGTTGACACTCACAGGACCCCAACAGGGGCGGGGACAAACCGCAACCAAGGTATGTGCCCCCAGCAGGAAACAAACCCGGGACTCTCTGGTCCACAGGCCGACGCTCTAACCACTGAGCCAAACTGGCCAGGGCGAGAGATATTCTTTATTAAAGGGAAACTGGGTTATTGAAGAGAAGATCTACCACCTATGGGTTCTCTTGCAAGTTGAGGCATCAATGAAATATTCAGAAAAACCCACCACATATTTGATAAGAATTATCAATTTGACCACAAAGACATGATAGATAGTTGAACAGATGACTTGGAAATCTCTTCCAGTTTGAAGAGTTCATGATTCTGTAACACGTGTTTACCAAGAATGCATGAAATTCAACTAAACATTAGAGTGCCCTAGGAGAGTGGCCTGAGGACAAGTAGATTAAAAAAACAAAACAACAACAACAACAAAAAAAACCTTGGAAATATTCAATTAAGAAGATGGAGGAGAGCCCTGGCCGGTTTGGTTCAGCGGTTGGAGCGTCGGCCTGTGGTCCTGAGAGACCCGGGTTCGGTTCCCGCTAAGGGCGCGTACCTCGGTTGCAGTTTGTCCCCGGCCCTGGTCGGTTGTGCGGGTGGCAGCCACTCGATGTGTTCCTTTCACATTGATGTTTCTCTCTCTCTGTTCCTCTCTCTCCCTCCCAGTCTACCTGAACAAAAGATGGAAAAATGTCCTCAGGTGAGGATAAAAAAAAAAAGAAGAAGATGGAGGAGAAAAGCAGCAGCAAGGAGAGATAAGAGAATCAAAGCAAGTAAGGAGGTAAGCACAGAAGACCAGCCTCTCCACTCTAGACAAAAACAAGGAAGCTCGGTATCAGAAAGGAAACAGATAACTAGAAACAACAGACAAGGATGTGATAGATTTTGCATCTTGTCAAAGAACAACAATTTCAGCACTTTTGAACTCTATGCCACTTCAATCTCTTACATTTGGGGAATAATATGTTCTTATCAATAATATCTTAAGCACAGGAAGGTTTTGCCAGTGTTCAACTTATTAGCAACGGCATTTACAAAACCATTGTATTCCACTTTTCCTCCTAAAAACACCTAACCTCCCAGCCTTGCACAAAGAGTATCTGGCCAGAAAGGCTTAGCTGGTCTCTTGTCAGGGAAGAGGAGGGGAATGGGACAGAACTCTGGAAAAAGAAGAGGGATTTGCATAAAGGTGGTTGACTGAGTACAGCCCTTATTTGAGGCTATACAGTGTTGAAAGAGCCATTCTCTAACCTGGCAGTGTAATCCTAATGGAGAGCTTTTGTTGCAAAGGCTGTGGTGGGCTGCTTTATTCAGCTGAGGAGTAAAAGTATTAACTGCCTCCTTTTGGTAAAGCCACGGCAGCTGGCAGCCCACA